GATCACACAAATTGGAGTGTGACTGAAAGTCTTGTGTGTAGTAAATCTGCACTTCGTAAATTAGTTTATATATATATATATATATATATATATATATATATATATATATATATATATATATATATATATATACATATATAAACAATAAGACATTTAGTGTTTTTGTTTTTTGCATCGAAACTCCACAGCTGCAATAGGTTCCCAGATAATTTGAACTTAGTTTGTTCAACTTTATTAATTGTCCACTAGGGTTTCGTATAGGATACTTACTTACGCCTATTACATCTCGTGGAGGAGCATAGATCGCCCTCTAACCAAATTTGTCTTGGACTCTCTTTTTCAGTTGTTTCCAAGTTTTATCCATTTTTTTTTAGATCTGCTTCCCATTCCCGACGCAATGTTTCCCTTAGTCTTCATATTTTCCTTTTTCCTTCAGAATCCCAGGTTGGGGCTTGCCTCGTAATACAGTTAGATAATTTCCGCAATATATCTCCTGTTCACCTCTCGTTCTTTCGTAATTTTCTCAGCTGAAAGTTGGTTTATTCTCTGTCACAGTAGGTCGCTGATGGTGTCTGGCCGACGGACACCGAGTATCTTGTGTAGAAAGTTGTTTATAAATACTTGTACTTTTTGATTATGGGTGTAGTAGTTCTCGAAGTTTCATTTCTATGCAGTAGAACTGCCTGGGATAGGCCTGTATAGAATAATAGTTTTCTAAATGTGTAATTCAAATGAACTTGTTTTTAGTGGGAACTAGTATACAAAAGCTTTCCAAATTCAGTAATATTCTAAACCCGGTGATCACAGCATATTTCAACTGATGCTGTACACTCAGTACACTTGAGTGAGGGATAGGATGTGTCCTTGACTTTTTAACTCATCTGCCTCTTAATGCTTGATATATGTACAATATCTAGGATTTTTCCGTTTATTTAGTGAGGGAATTCTACATATAAGGAGCATAAAATTCACTGTGGATCTCATTTCAAACTCTAAGTTCTCTTTTATTCCGGTAATTTGGGTTGCGCGACAATAGCGTTTTCACAAAAGACATAAATAGACAACTTTAAATTATTAAAATGAAGTTTGGAGTAGAAATTACAGTTATATGCAACACTGACACACTAAATAAACGGGAAAATACTAGATATCACACTTTTATTGAATTTTAAGAAAGTATGATTAATGGATTTTTACGCTTAATTTAAAACTGCTTAAATTCCTGCTGTTTCAATTAATAGAAAAATATACAATGCTGTTAAGATTGCATGCTTATCATGACCTTAATTAAGCTCTGTATATCACTAGAAAATTTTGGCGCCTTGTTATTGAACGGTCGGTCTGTTAGTCCATTCAGTGACTTATTTTTTCAGCCAATCGATTAATAGGAAACATCAACCAATCAAAACACTGCATTTCGAGTTACTTTCATCAGTTCATACAACAATCATTATGTTTTGTCATAGTGATTGTAATTAACCAGTTATCTGGTTATGAAGTCGGCCCTGAATTCTGGCATAGACATGAATGAAAATTAGTCGTGCCATTTTCTATTGTGCTATTTTATTCTGTTCATAGTATAAAACACCTTTTCTCATTAGGGAATATGTAAATAAATTAATACAAAGTTTCTAATAGTACAATGTCACACAAAATACTTGGTTGTGTAACTTGTTTAAAAAAAAACATAATTGTCAAAAAGTTAAAATACTTGGTTTCTGTTGTAACAGTCAAGTTGCTTTGGGAGTAGGATAAACACGTTTTTCCAGATATAATTCAACATTAGTTGATACAGTTGAAACTAACTGTATGATAAAACTTAATCTGTAATCAAAGAATGACATGATAAATAATATGAGGTATATCAAGTCTGAATATATTGCTGTAATTTTATGCAAGGAAAAAGCTCCAAACTATGTATGTTGATGAAATATAATTGTCAATCCATAAAATCACTTACCTCTGAACTAAGCTGTGTTTGTAGGTTCAGACTACTTGGTTGGCCGAATGACCACAGTGAATGGTTAGGAATTTTGGTCAGTTTGTCTTATGGATATACTCACTCTTTTTCCACCTCCTAGATTTCGGGTTTTAGTATTACTCTAAGTATATCTTCTTTGTAAATTACATTCTCAGTGTTTAGTCGATGGAACTAAACTGTACTAACGGCCTTGAAACAAATGAAAATGGCCAGTCAGGATGAAGATAGCGGTTGTTGGATAGACGCGCGATTTTCGAAATGCAGTTGTGGATAACTCACAACCAGGAACTATTCTTTTGGACTAGATTTTTCATTTTGACTAATTTGGTCGGTAATATGATCGTTGATCACCTATAGAACCTTGGAATGTTGAGAAATAGTATCTTATGTAACCGTGGACAGCAAATAATGAGGAGAGAAAATCTAGAGTCCAGAGATACGGTTGTTATACGCTGCACTAGATGTTGAGAAAATAAGTATTGGAAATGGCATTTCCTCATGATCAAACTTATGATTAGTTTACACAACTTGCATTCTGGTTGTCTAACATTCAAGTGTTTAATCTCAAGTTCACTCTTACAATCGCTCAAAGTGGTCAGTTTCTTTAAGTTTTAATGTTTAGTCATTATCACGATCATTGGTACTACAACAACTTCGATTTCTTTGCAATTCATCTTCATTTTATTTCGTTGTGCTAATGCTGTATGGCAACTTGGACCACTGCACATTTGTGCTAAATGCCTTATTTATTATGACTGGTTGATTAATGAAGTATAATTTTAGTTATTTATAGCTGATAAGCTATCTACTTAAATTGATGGATATCCTACTTAATTGATTAAATAAGTAGTTAGTTCTTACTGAACTACGAGTCTTAAGATATAGAATATCTGGTTAAATATTGATTTCAGAGATAAATATTTTATTCCTGTATAACACACTCAATTCATGTATGGTGACTATCAGATATAACAAATTGTTAATTAAATCTTAAAACCAAAGTCATCAACACCACCAGTGGAACTCCGTTTCTTTCGTTCATGTTAAAAGCAAACTGGTAGATTAAGTGATTGTCAACATGGTGAATGTATGCAGTCATCTATTTTTTATGGTCAAATTATCAATGTGAGTAGAATTCCCTTTTTGGAACTTCCAGTTAATTTGTATGGCGCTTATGACGTTACGATGCATCCTACCTTTTTTACTTGTTTTGAATTGCTCACTCCTTTCAATGCCTAGTGACTAATGTCATGCTGTTGCATGGTCACTTAGTAACTGGGAAATTAATAACATTCCACAAATTCATCGAGTCACTTTAATTCTCAGCGTAAACTGTGTGAATGTTTTGCCTGTGTACGTGTGTGGTGTTCAGCCATCGGTTTTAAACAATTTTAATCGGTTTTTTACTTGAGTTGGTCTTTGTAATCGAGATGTATTCATTCTTAGATTGTTTTAATTTTGTGATTCCCTACTGTAATAACTGAAAGAAATTGAAATTTGAATGAAATACTAAGTGATCCATGAGAATAGGACTATTATCATTATCAATATGATAGAATTGGATGTAGATACTTTTCTATTATGAAAATCTACCATTATAACACATGACTATATTTTTAATCGTTTGTAATGATAACGTGACTAATTGTCAGATGGTCAGATTTCTCTATAAATTGCCTAAAAACTTTGGGTTATAATGTGATAATTCCTTATAACATAGTGGCTTTATGGGGTAATATTGTGACTTTCTAATAGATTCAAATGATAGCGTATTTTTATTTTTAAACCGTCTGTTTCATTGAACAATGGATGACTTTAACGTTAAGCCATTCGCAGGTTTTCTTTTAGCCTGAAGATACATTATGTACTGGGGGGAAGAGAAATGTGTAGAACGGTATGTGTCAGAGAATCTACAAGTTAGTAAAACAAGAGATAAAGGTGAGCTTACGATTTTGTAAACACAATATGCAAATAAATCCAATAATAACACAGGTTTGAGATTAAAACAATTAAATAATGGAAACTTTGAGTTCATAGCTTGAGATTTCGAATGTTTAACAGACATGTATTTGAGTTTTGTAGCTTTCCTTTCCACTTAGCTATCCAAATGAATCACATCTACGTTAAGGTTTACTAGATATTGTTTGGTTTGACTTACTAAAATACAATATCACATCAAGAATTTTCTCATAAATTATGGGCATTTCAAGTTACCATATTCAATATTTTATCGGTGTGAATAGTATGCCATCGGAGGACTTATTTAAAGGTTTATAGGAGCTTGGTCTTTAGCTGCTTGACTAACTGCTACTAGTACTCTTCGAACCTCGTTTAAGTTTTGCAGTGAAATATTATTTTCAGGCCTCACACCGTTAAGTTTAACTAATTGCCTACTTGCTAAGGTGGTGATCACAGGTTTATCCAATATATGTAATTAAAAAAAGAAGTCATAGGAGTAACGGTAACTACAACTGGTTTTTTCCTGATTTGATTTTTCACATGACATTTTCTTTATTCTGATTGGCTGCTGCTATATTTAGTTCCATAATTTTCTCTATGCTTGAAGGACGTGCTTTCGTTATCATATATGGTGAAATGTACCATTTCAAGCTATTCTCCTTATTATACTTGAAGATCGAGTTTTTTCTGTACATTGTCTCCTTCATGTGATAGCGGCCAATTAATTGTTGAAGTTTTGTGTAAGAAATTTCGTTATCGAGTTCGCAATAGAACTGTCCGTTTTCTAATAGCTCAATCGTCTTTTTATTCACCGGTATTGTGGGTAAAAAAACGTCTAAGAGACAAAATCGTTTTGTCAAAATATAACATTACTTAAAAACCTTTGAAAGACTAGTTCAATGGAGTATTTAAATGAAATATGCTATTTCAGTTGTTATGATGTTTAATTAAATGTGCACTTTTGCCTCTTTTTCTTTTTTTCCATTGGGACATACTCTCTCAGTTTTGTCTTGTTTTTATTCTTCACTCTCTCTTTGTGTTCATTTTTCATATTTTTTAGAAGTATGGAAGCATTGAATATAGATCATGTGGTTCCAGGTGAATCAATTTCTCAGGATATTAGTGAGTTATTTTTGTTTGAATCAGTGAAAGACCAAGTTATTCTAATATTGAATTATTTGTAAACGCTTTATGAATCCTTCACAACACAGAGTTGAAGCCTATTTTAATACAAATATATTTATTTTCAAGTTCCAAAGTAATTGAGACCGATAGTTAGTGCTATGAATCTTAAATTTGATGAGTTCCAGTATATTCCTTCATACACGTCTTTTCATTTCTTCTTCTCGAGTTATATTCTCTATGTTAAGTCTCCACTAACACGAAAGTAATGCTTTGATATATTTATTATTAAGATCTAGAACGTTGATATTCACTTAAATTTTACGATTTCTTCCAATATTCACTGCGTACAAATTAAATTGTAACAAAAAACTAATTGTTATGAATAAATAATATATTTGTAATATCCCAATGAGTAGAAAAATGAGCTTTTCTGACGTTTCGTGACTTAGTGTAAGCCACTTCTTCATAGAATAGATAACCAAACTAAAATTAATCTAAGTTTAAATAGTACAACGTCGCGAAACGTTAGAAAATCTAATTTTTCTACTTATTGGGATATGACAAATATATTATTTATTTATAACAATCTACCCAATGCTCAATTTATTCGATTTTATCAAATCAAACCTTGGTAATGATACCTATAAAAAACTAATTGATTCACCTATTATGTACAGAAAAAGCCCGCGAACTTGATTTGCTTAACATTTTATTTTTCATTCTACCACAAATATGAATTTCCTCCAAACATTTAAATGTCTTGAACACTGACCACACAGGTATTTATCTCTCACTTCCTGTTATGAAAGATGAAAGTCATTCATTTCTGTATTTCGCGTAAAATACTTGAGGGTAATTTTCTCGATTTTGATTGGCTTGTTCTTAATCTACTCTTTCACCGTACTCAGTTTTCTACGAAACATAAATAAGTTGTCAATTGAAATTCATAGTTTACAGTACATTGTATCTACGTATGTTGCTTTTATAGTCACATGATTTGCGCATTGTAGTAATGAATATACTTGTAACCACTGCTGGTGTTTTAATCAATGATATAGAGGAACGTTGGAATTTATCGATAATATGAAAGAAGACAGCAATGGATTAGTTGATTTATTGTTAGTATCTTAGGCAAATCATAAAAGATATGTTTAAGTGGTAATTTGTGGTTTTTACAGTCCTACTATCATTTATCTGCACGGGCTATATCTCTACAGTTTTCCACACCTTCAAGATTGTTTGCGGTCATATAACGCAGACTATATGTTGTTTAAATAAATAGGCTTAAAGTTCAAATCCACATTATGTTTGTCTTTTCTATTATTAGTTTGTTTATTATGATTTCAAAAGTGGAGGACTAGTTGAATTCGATGATTTCAAACAAGTTACCTTGAATTGTTTACTATCAAGTCTAGCACATATACAAGGTCGCTAAAAATACATGTCATTATTTTACCGTTAAAAACGTTATCTTTGTTTTTATACATCTAGCATACATTTTGTTTTAGTAATCAAAAATATAGGTCACCCAGACATTGATAGCACATAATAAGTTCTATGAGATGAAAATAAGAAGTTTATTTATTAATTTGCTGAGGAATCCAAATGATATTCTGAAATGTCTAGTGATATATACACTACCAATTTTTCAATATTTAAAATTCACTTTTATTTGGTCGGCGGTAATTATTTCCTGTACATAAACTCTTAGATTATCATTCTGTGGTTTGGAAATATAACCTTCGAAGGTTGAGGACATGCGTAGGTCGGTAGGATAGGTAGTATTTGATCATAGACACCTTGAGATTATACTTCAGATTTGCGTAATCAACGTGGTGAATAATTCTAGAGTTTAGGCGTAGAGTACCAGGTAAGAATGATAGATCGATTAATGAGCCTATGAATAAATTTGAATGCTTTACTTCTACGTGAAGTTTGAACTAATGATGTTGTTCAAGAGAGCAATTAAAGCTTCACGGCTTAAACATTCACCTCTGATAACAAACTTTCCCATTTTAATAATTTTCCTGAGTTACAAATTTTCTCCATTATCTGGGAACAATGTTTTTAAAAAATTTATCCGTTGTAAGGTAATTTGTTTTTCAGATTGTTAGAAAGTTAAGATAATGTCGATTTCACGACACGACTACGTTATAACAGTTGTTAGTTTGTCTTTTTTTACCAACTGCACCAGATGATGACGTGACCGTAAACCATTTTCACATCTGTTTCATCCACCTGATATTTTAATCGTGTTTGATTGTCATATGAATAAGAGAAATCTATCACACTGTTGTGACCTAAGGAAGCTTTATCGGTTATAGTTATCTTGTAAACCCAAAGAAATGTGTACTTGTCAAAGTGACTTAGAGCAATAATGAATGACTTCGTAGGTTCACATCGTGTTTTGGTTTGGGTGTTCCTAGCCTTACATAATTCTACTTCTGTGGTATCTAGTACAGAACGCTAAGATAAGTGAGGACTGGGCTTGGGTAACGTGTGTCTCAATCACATTGTTAGTTAAATATTCTCAAACTTTACAACCGACTTATCATATCTTTTTGACATGCTACTTTTAATCTCTGAATTGCCCACCAGGTGGTTCAACTGTAGGTGCGAACTTTGCTAAAGTCACTTGGGACTAATTAATTTACACAGTACAGTCTTTGCCCCCAAATGCCCTGTTACGGTCGAGGGTGCGGCTAGTCAGCTATTCTTCTCCAAATGCTCTCACATGGCCTCGCGTATACAGCCACTGCCAGGAAAGTCCTACTCACTGCCTTCTCGTGGTATTGCTGTTGTTTACGAAACTGAGAGGACGAAAAGTGAATATCTGGCGCTTTAACCGGGATGGACACGGTGGATCCATCTAGGGTAGTTGGAAAACCCTGATTCCAAACCATTAGTGCACATGGGCTCCAGGATCCTGAAGGAACAAATGGAGTATGAACCAATCGTTGGTCGCCGGCTACCATAGAACTGCATCTCCGACGTTGCTCCATTGCCTGGTGGATTAGACGTTTAGGCAAAGGACTCTGGTGTGGCTTCCTAAGAAGACCACCTGCTTTGGTCTGGGCATCCGGACAGTATCACAGCCTTCACACAAATCAGTGATAACTACTACTGGCCTCATTGTTATTGTGTGACGCATATGTATTTGATGCCCCCTTGTACCAGTGTTCGTATGTTCAAATAAATAAATAAATGTTCATAGGTTCATTTACATCACAGGTGATATAATTTGGTAGAATCTGAGTAAACTTTCTATATCTTTGTGAAGATTTAATCAGGGACCAATTAACCACCATGGATAATGGGACCCTCTAAATAGATGATCAACACTCAACAACGTCTTTTTCTATAGACCAAATAATGTTGTGTAACATTCTTAGAGTAAAATCTAATTTTACGAATAAATAAACACATGTCAAACATTCTGCTCACTCAAAGTGTTTAGACAATTTAATCAGGAACTTCATTAAACAGAATTATATACTTTAAGTCACTGAGAGAATCATCAAGTAGAAAATTAATCTCATTCAATCCTCTTTAATTAGTTTTACTTCATTGTGATCAACAGTGAATACACTAATAAGCTCATTTTATCAGCAACTAAATAGTTGCTCCTAATCTGGCACATACTGTGGTGCAAATAAATCTTTGATTTCTTCAAAAATTAACTAAGTGTCACATACATTTCATCATTCAGTTATGTTGTCAGTATGTACACAATTTTCAAACTCCAAGATACTAGGTCATTGAATCAGCTTGTTTATAATAATCAATAAATTTAATCAAAATACCTTATCAACTAAAATGAGAATCGATAATTTTTTTACTAAAACAAAGTAACAACAATTAACCAATCATTGAGTAAAATGATTGTATGCGTTGGTGTTCATGTTCAACTTACTGGACGTTTTTAAAATTGCACATTATATATATATATATATATATATATATATATATATATATATATATATATATATATATATCTTGAATATGAACCAAATTTAACTAAAGTAAATAAACCAAAAATTTGTTTAACTTACTGAATATAAAAAAGCTGTTAATTTTTGATACTAGTGTTTAACTGTCAATACTTGAACTCAAAGTTATAATCCATTAGTTAAGACTTTGACAGTTGGAATAGTGTTGTTTAGAGTTCATGTAAAATTAGAAAATAACTCAAAGATAAATGCGCACATAAAACCATAATTCATATGATGTCAAGTGATAGCAACGAATGACCACATTTTACCCTGATTGATAAATTTCGATCAGCTAATGTAAAAGTTTTAGTCCTACAGATTATCGATCATTAATCAAATAACCTAGTGTTAATATCTTTTATTGTTGTGGAATTGGATGACACGTGTTTGAATCTCACAGAAAGCATCCCTCCTCTAAGGAATGCAAGTATGTCTTGGTAAGGACTGCTGATCGAACATTAACCCTAACTTCAGAACTTTCTGCCTATTACCTTTAACATATGTATTTCATTCAATTTTTCTCTGGATCGTCTTGCATTAGCTATAAATCAGTAAATAAACCAATCTCATAGCATAGAACTAGCTGTTGGATAGTGGTTGTTGTTAGTACGCACTATAATCGGTTAATTTCAAGTCATATATTTATTTTCAGTATAAGGTTGTGAAGGTTGTTGGATTTCATTGAAATCACGAATCGATCAATGTTAGACAACCATTGCAAAACTCGAAGCACTAGATGACTGATTCGACCTATCATAAGGCTTCTCAACAGTATGGATCAACGACCCCTCATCAAGGATTAAATCCAGTACTTTTGATCTCGAACGTGAATGCACAACCTCTGGACCACCAAGCCGAAACCAATCATGTACAAGTACAACTTCAATCAATCCATGATACTACTCAACCAACGATCTTCAGTTTTTTCCATTGGGTTACCTTCTTCACACTTGACACCGTTAAACTGTACTGGTCATGGCTTCTGACTAGAAGTTTGACAATTTTCTCTCAAAGCTAGTCGCTATTGAGCACATGGTGATCGTCCATATAAGGTTGTGGAGATTGTTGAATTTCAGCCGCCTAACTTTTATTGGCTCGTGATTTCTATGAAGTGAGAGTTTAATTGATGGAGGTGATTCTCCAAAGAATGAACTAATATGTAGTAACCAGAAATGCTAGATAACTCAATCTTTTTTGACACAAACATTTGAACAATAAGTTAAATAACAACAAAGATCAGTGTAGAAATATTGATTGGGAAAAAGTTACTTTTACAAAATGAGATAATTTGAGGTCTTCTCTGAACTGACTACTTCCTTATGTTTTTGTTATTCACTTTTTTTACTCTTTTCTCTCTCAACACATAGATATCAGTAGTGAAATTACCATTACATCTCCAGTGGTACAACAACCGTCTACATCTCAAAGAAAACTTGGTGAATTAATGTCAATATTTCCTAATTTAAAATTAAACATACTTGAAGAATTTTTATCACTTGCACATGATGACGTTTCATGGGCAACTACATTGATTTTAGATAATCATACTAGCGAAAGAATAAATCAAAAAATTGAGCAGAATTCTAATCCACTTGAAAATAATTTATTGTTATGTAAATCTAATCTTAGTCAAACTTCTGAACATCCATCGACAGAAATAACAGAAGCAGCCTTAGATCCTGCACCGCTATCACCAACACCTTGTGAGCCTAGTTTCTTCAACATCTTGGAAGACAATACAACTAACCCCAGTCGAACTACTTTGTCATCTGTAAAAGAATCTCAACCTGAAAATGAAATAGACCGTACTTTTAATCATCAACATGGTATTAAGTTTTCAAGAAGTTTTCTACAAACAGCACATGAAGAGTATGCTTTTGGTCTTGGCTTATCAGATATTGATATATGTAAGTTCTACAATAGCAAGGTACTTTCTATTACGCTAGCTTTTTTTGATATTTGTTATCTATAACTTACGCCTGTTACCCTTCGTGGAGAAGCAAAGGCCACTCACAAGCACTCTCAATCCAACTCTGACCTGGGCAATCCTTTCTAGTTTCCAATTTCTATCGATTCTTTCGATATCTGCCTCCAATTCCGACGCTATGTTTTCCTTGGTCTTACTATTTTCCTTTTCACTTCGGGATCCCAGGTTAGCGTTTGCCTCATGATGCAGTTAGGTGATTTCCGAAATGTATATCCTATCCACCTGCAAAATCCTTTCCTAATTACTTCTTCAGTTGGAAGCTGGTTTGTTCTCTCCCACAGTAGACTGTTGCTGATGGTATCTGGTTAACGAACATGGAGTATCTTGAATAGACAATTGTTTATAAATACTTGTACCATTTTGATGATGGTTGTGTTAGTTCCCGCAGTTTGAGCTCCGTACAGTAGAACTGTTTTGACGTTTGTATTGAAGATTGTGACTTTGATATTGGTTGACAGTTGTTTTGAGTTGCAAATGTTCTTCAAGTGTAAGAATGCTGTTCATGCTTTGCCAATCCTCGCTTTTACGTCTGCATCAGATCGTCCTTGTTCATCGATTATGCTAAGTATGTACTTGAAACTTTCCACCTCTTGTGTGGCTTCTCCACCAAGTGTGATTGTGTTGATATTCTCTGTGTTGTAATTGAGGATGTTGCTTTTTCACTTGTGTTTGTTGAGGTCAATTGATGCAGAGGCTGTTGCGACACTAGTTGTCTTCATCTGCATTTGTTCGTATGTATATGATAGATGAGCTATGTGATCCTCGTAGTCCATATCGTTTAGTTGATTCCGAGATATCGATTGTTTTCCGTGCTTCTCGTCAGATGGCGAAGTCTTTATAATCCAGTCAACTACCAGAATAAAGAGAAAGTGGGAGAGTAAGCAGCCTATTTGGACACCAGTCTTCACTTGGAATGAGTCTGTCAGCTGTCTTTCATGCACCACTTTGCACTGTAGTTCGTCGTTTGAATTCCGTATTGTGTTGACGATGTTGTTAGGTACTCCATGGTATCGAAGAAGTTTCGATAGGGTCCTTCTACTCAAACAAAATAAATATATGTTACTCAAATGAAGAGATGAAATTGTGAAGAGATTGAAAAACAAGAAATGTGAACAAAAGTGGTAGATGATTGGACATACAGTGGAATCCCTCTCAATTAATTGAATTGCATCTCACTATTATGAAAAGATGTAGTAGAAACGTATAGTAGAAATAGCATTGACTTGTATTCTGAACTTATCTGGTAATTCCTAAAGCTATTGAGTTCCTTTATCTTTAGAAATCCAATCATAAAGTCATGAAAGGCCGATAGATAAAAGTCCCATACAATTGCCTTTCATATTTTAGTATCATGTCATATGATGACTGCCCTTCTCTTTTTCCACTTAGTTCCAACATAAGCAAATAATGCACAAAGTGGAAACTGCTAGAACGAAAATCGTTAAACATGTTCAAACTACCACATTCATTGAAGTCATTATATATGTAAATTATATTTGAAACAATCTCAGCGATTGAAATTTAAATAATTCCAACGTTTCGTCCAGCTAACTTGTCTGGACTTCTTCGGGGTAATAAACGTTGGAATTATTTAAATTTCAATCACTGAGATTGTTTCAAATATAATTTATGTATATAATACCACATTCATTGTTTTAAAATTGTAACACCAATTGGATTATTGTTATTGTGCCCAAAAGCTAAGTTATAACCTGATCATTACTAAACTATGTGTTCGATTATAGCTTAAATGTTGTTGACAATAAAAAACTAATTTTATTCATCAATTCAAACAACTGAAAAGTAATCGACGATTTTTTTCTTCATGATAACACTGGAAATTAACAAACATCTCTAGTTATTATGACTTTCATAAATGATCAGTATGAATTTCTATTCGGATGTTCGAAACTTTAATTTATTAACTAAAATTACAAGTCAATGTATTAGGTTTTGAAATATATATCTATTATGTAAGAGCTGGTGATATTACTCTATTATTTACTATTCTCTTTCTATGAATAAATTGACTAAATATTTCTCAATGCTTGAATTGCATTTATCAACTAAATTTTAAAGTAAGACAATAAGGTTTTTTGATTTTCAGTTATCGATTTTCGGAGATATTTTACCGTCATTTAGAAGCACCATTGGGTTCTGTTTTAGAGGTCTAAAATTAATTTTACATAACTGGTTATGACATTTGAGAATTGTCAAACTAGGACGAAACAGATATTCACAGCTCCCTGGTTTTCATTAGTATATTAGCTGATTTTAATCCGTAATGCATTAAACGTCTTAACTTAGGACCATAGTTTGTAATTCAGGGTCATATCAGTAGGTAGGTATCTTGTTTGTTGTTTAGGAAAAAGAAAACTTTATGAGAAACTAGGAAGATGCTAAATATTCTTTCAATTGACTCATGATTTCAACTATTGATATACCACATGTGTTGTGATAATTACAATAATATTAAATATTGAGTGGTGACGCATCAATTCTCATTAAATTAAAAGTGGCAGTTCTGTAAGTGATTGAATATCTTATCTGTCGAAAGTGATACGTTTTGTATTTAAGTGCTTAGACTCACACTTTCTAGCTACGTCCTAGTCCCCATAAATTCTAACTCTCTGGCTCTGAGGAGCAGATGGAGTACACAAAGTACAAAATATAACTTTTCTTCCATGTTTGAAGTGATTACGAGATCACCTAAAATTGGCGAACGAAACGAAGAATCAACGACACAACGACAAAACAAGCTAAACTATTCCGATACGTCTCAGCTCCGCTAAGTAGAGGGAGAAGAACAAGTTCGGATGAAGAAAATTTATATTCCACAAGCAGCTAAAAGTACGAACAAACAAAGCACACAACTCAAACATAATTATACTACATAAAAAGATCCTTGCGAAACACGAAATAGCGTATTAAACGAGGCAACGAACATTTAGGGTTCTTCCAAGCGGAAAATAAAACTAAGGTAAAAATGGGCGCTTTTGGCACGAAAACGCGAAATCCAAATTTCCAAAATAAAATTACAAAAAATAAGACGTTTACCAAGTGATTCCTGGGGGACTAGCATCCACAATAACTTTGAAGATTATTTGATGTAATGAATTATTCATAAGTTTGTTCGTGACTCTAAGATCCAAAAAATTGCAAGCATGCTAAAATTAATAACAAAACCAGTAAGCACCCAATCATGGTACAACATAATCTTTATTGTTCTAGATTTCTATCGAAAATTTCAAAACAAATCTGATTGAACGAAGTATACTCAACACTGTCTCAGCTTTTAAGGAAATTTTTCGAGGCATTATTGAAGGGTTTCAACAGGAGAATAGCACGGTACATTTGAATACATTGAGTTTTTTATATTGACACAAACTTATTATAATGTGGTAGCTTAGTAAAATGTCAGTGTTTCTAATATGTAGTTGTGTGTATTGATTATTTTCTACAGCTCCTGATGCAATTCCCGACTTTATCATCGATGAATGGACACCTGAACCTAATTTGATCAAAGAAATTTATGCCAGTTTTATGCGACATTTAGGTGTTCTTTCAAATAGCACAACTAGAGTATTAACACCGAAATTTCCACCATCAAATACACGAAGTTCAAATCGTAAGTTTAGTTAAAATGTGTATAATGTTTAAAATACCCTAAGGTTTATGGTTAATAATATGAAAGGGAAAAAACTAATCATTTATGGTATATATATACCTTGCTGACGAGTGCCAAGTTGCACTAAACACGGGTCCAGGGTTTCCTGTAGACTGTCTCCAACCACCATCTAATCTCAACATAGTGCACGTAATGTCGAGTTACCTAGACTAGTGGCCACATTGTAACTTGGTCGATAGTATTCGATCTGCACTAAGAAGGACCTGACACACATGACATTAATCACCACCCAGTGATCAATCAATTATGACGTACAGAGCGTATTTGTAGTTACGATTTTGAGTTTCTTTAAGTTTCTGGAACTTTACTAAATGTGGTAGCAATGTATGTAAATATCCAATCAGGAACATGACTCGCTTTCTAGATGTTTCTAAGACGCTTCTATTCAATGCTATTTGGATAAAATGTTTTCCAGCGCTTTCTGGGCTCCTAAGGACTTTTCCGAGGAATACTTTGGAACTCTAACACTATTCTATTTCAACAAGGCTCATGTAGCGTATTTTAAATTATGATGTCATACATATTGATTAAATTTCAGGAAAAATTGGACAACATCCATTTTGTGTCAATCAATTAGTCAGTAATAATCAAGTTAGTTTCTCATACAAATATGTGTTGGTCCAATTTGCCGTTCCATACCAATAAAACGAAAGAAAATGAACACGGTAAACGTCGAATGAGTTGAAATAATATATTAGCAATGGTAATCAGAAAGATTAGGCATTTAGAATATGGTTTGAATAGATTATGAAAAGTTAGGTACGAAGGAATCCTTGAACTAAAGATCTAGAACAAGATAAAGAGTAAATACTTCTGTGTTATTCTAACAGATTCTATACAATCTTACCTAAGGTCTCCAACAGCTTGTCGCTGTTATCGCGTAGATCCCAACCAGATAGTCTACATTTACTAACACAGGTCAGTCTAACGGTAAATAACTTCATGGACTAATAACACGTGGTTTGGCTTCTCATAGCTTTCTTCTAACTTAATCATAGACCGGCTTGTATAACCCATCGTGGTAAGTAACAGTTAAATTGCACATTTACTATCGAAAATGTAGAACTTACATGTATCTACTACTTTTACGCATCACTTTTCACAGACAAAGGAATACAGAGAGAACTGCTGCTTAGTATGTATGTAGGATGAACTAAATCATTAATTTTCTGTTTTATAGTTTGTTTTTGTAAATTTAATTAAAAATATACTACTCTTATGCTTTGATTTGTACCTGAAGTGAGAAAAATAGAATTAGATGAAGTTAAATATGTTTGAGGCGTGTGATAATCCTGTTTCATACAACTAGTCCTACTACTATTAATGCTACTATTACCATTTTAAATGACCCTATCAATTGTACATCGTATATTACATCGTTGTGCATGAACCATGAGTAGAATTGTTCAACTGAACAAACGTTTACACTTGTCATATTGAACAACGTTTATACTAATTTGGTACACTGAACAAAGTTCTCACCTGTCATCCTGACCGAAATTCAAAATGAATTGGTGTAAAACAGTATTAACCCAAACAATTTTATCTTTTCATCTCAGCATATCATAAACCATTGAAAAAGATTCCTCCTACTCTATTAGTTGACCGACTAATGGCGAGTATCCAGTTAACGTACTTAATATATATATATATATATATATATATATATATATATATAAGATCAAGGCTTTACACATTAATAAAATAGTCTTATCAAGCGCGTAACTAGGTATACATTTCTTACTTATTTTTGATAAAAGCCTATTCATTGAAGAAGAATTAAGACAATTCAGCGAGGAAAATTTTTTTCAGCTATATCATTTACCCAAGTTCGTACAATCGTATTTATAGTTGATCTACAAATGAAATAATTTACTGAAAAAAAAATAAAAGGACAATTACCCTATAATATGTGCCAAAGAAAGTTGTTTAATAATTGACAATTCAAGAGAGATAGTAATATGAAATCTAATGTCAGAAAGATAATTGTCCACTTGACGATTATGAGAAGGGTGAAGAATAAATTAAAAACCTGAAGGTGATGTTAATGAATAATTAAAATTAAGAAAACTAAGAAGATATGGGGGGGATATAATAAAATCAAATTACTGTTTATATGCATTAAGTGTTAGGGCCATAGAAGAATGATGGCTTGCAGGTGTCTCTTTTGCACACAAAGTTCAGGTTTGGAAATATAGATTACTAACGCTTCTGCAATGTATCACTTATCAATTTATTCTCTTTTTGAACCAAATTGTCTAATTGTACAGATGATTTTAAAGGACTTATCAGATGAGACTATGTGATCTGAGTTCATAAGATGTTTTGATCTTGTGTTTTTTCGACTCGTAATAAAAATTATTGTCAATAGATTGAATAGTGAGACCAATAATTAATTTTGTCCCTGACTGATAAAATTCAAGTTAGTAATGTGTGCGCTATTCAAAAAGGACAGTGGTATTTTTCCTCGCTGAGTAGATTCTATTGTTTTGATCGTTTATACGTATCAAAACTACTGTTTTTCACTTTAATTGAGTTCATTTCAGTTAAAGTATTCGATTAGATTATTTTTGTTTCTAAAGTAGTTTTGTTGGCAGTACTTTTGAGTACTCTGTTGTTTTTTTTATAGTATCTGTTAGTACTTTTGGTTCCAACGATCCACAGTTTTCCACTTTTTTTGGTCATAGATTGTTTTTTTTGTCCCTGAGTGTCTTTGCATCTAGTTCCTTTTTTTAAAAAAAAACCCCGCGTTTAAATGACTGGACAGTGCAAAAAAAGTAATTGCCAACGCCCGGGCTGTCGTTATCCTGTTGAAAGCGGCATGCAGTGCGATGAGTGCAAAGGATGGTACCACGAAGTTTGCACAAATTTAACGCCTGCAGCTTTCAAACGGTTCAGTAGGAATGGTTGTGTATGGCTCTGTCAACAGTGCTGTTCGGATGCTAACAGTTTGCTAACCGAGGCCATCTCATTGGTTAGTGCTGCTAAAAAATGTTTTGGTAAGAGTGGTCGTGACACATCATCAAGTACTCGCTCCGTTGACACGCAAATTGGCGTGAGTCAAACTAAAGTGAGTTCGAAAACAGATGACTCGCACCGATCAAAGGAGGGAGAACAATCCCCAAAGAGTTCTGTCCGCACAAAAAACTCAAGGAAAAACGTTTCTTCTGTCCCACGTCCTCAAAATGGTATCCAGAAAGAAACACATAGAAGCCGCGAGGCTCGATCAGTTTCCAAAGGGACACCAAACCTGACCTCCCAAGTCATCGAAAACCCTCCGGAATCCCACAGTATGTTTGACGCGACTGTGGTTGCTTCTCCAAGCAACGTTGACGAATGGGTACAGGTTGTGAGGAAGAAACAGAAAAATGATATAAAAGGGAGCCCTGCCCCCACAAAAGTAGTCGAAAAACCGAATGCTGATCACAGTAACAGATCAGTCATTTTTCATAGGATCAAGGAGAGCGAAAGCTCCGAACCAAAAACTCGTTTTGAGCATGACATTGACCTGATAAAACAGCTACTTAATCAACTCATGCCTGAAAATATCTCCGGAGTCACCTTGCTAAAGGTGTATAGACTAGGTAGTTTAGCGAACTTGAAGCCTAATCAATCTAGACTGCTTAAAGTAGTTTTCAAATCTTCGAATGAAAGGGACTTAATTTTACAGAATGGACATAAATTAAAGGGTTCGGGAGTTTTTATCCGAAAGGACTTGCCGTTGGCAGACCGTGTAAAAAGACGGGAAGCCGAAAAAGAACTACAAATGAGGTTAGACGCTGGCGAAAAGGACCTGAAAATTGTAAATTTTCGGGTTGTGAGGCTTCGTCAGAGAATGATGGCGAAGCCACTCTGGGTGAAACACGAAGCCTTTCAAATAGGCTAAGGATCTGTTACACAAATGCCCGAAGCTTGTTAAATAAGCTATCGGAACTAGGTGAACAGATTGACTCTACAGAGCCAGACATAATCGCAGTCACAGAAACCTGGCTGACACAGTCTATAGATAATATGGAACTCGATTTTGAGGGTTTTACTTTAGTAAGGACCGACAGAATACATAAGCGTAAAGGAGGGGGAGTAGCTCTATTCATTAGGAATGCTATCCCGTTTGTCATCATTGATAGTGTATCCCATGAAAGTGGGACGTGTGAATTGATTAGTTGCCGCTTGAAATTCAAGGGACAAGAGCTGCTAATTGGTTTGGTCTATCGCAGTCCAAGCTGTGAGGTAAATGATGTCCTGTTAAACAGGCTCAAAAATTGGTCGCGATGTGGTCGATGTCTAATCCTAGGGGACTTTAATGCACCTACGGTAGACTGGAGAAATCTGCGAACCGAATCATCAGATAATTCCTTCGAGCAGGAACTAGTTGACGCGGTTATAACATGTGCCTTAGTGCAACATGTGAAAGAAGCGACTAGGTACGACCCGGACACTGAATCATCCTTACTAGATCTTATATTAACTCACTATGAGGATGACGTTGCGAACCTCCATTACATGCCACCCTTAGGTAAAAGTGATCATGCAGTTTTAAACTTTGACTTTCATATAACTGTCAATCACGAGCAAGCGTCAACTCAATCCAGACCTAACGTCTGGAAAGCAAGCATACCAGATATCATGCACTCGGCATCACTAGTAGATTGGACAATAGACCCAGCGTCCTCAATTGAAACGGCTTGGAATGCATTCCGAAATCTATATTTAAAAGTTACCGCACCCCACATTCCTTGGACTAGACCAAGGGGGCCGAGAAACTCCCCACCATGGTTCAATAAGGAGGTCCGCATCCTTCTCCGTAAGAGAAGAAAAATGTGGGATAGATTTAGGTTACTGGGGTCTGATGAGACAAAATCTCAGTGCCGAAAAGCTAGGAATACCTGTGCCTCGACCCTCCGTAAGTCTAGAAAACTGTACGAAGAAAAAATTGTTAAGGAATCCATAGAATGTCCTAAACGCCTGTATTCCTATATAAACCAAAGGACAAAAAGAAGAGGAATTATCCCTGCACTATGGGGAGACAGTACTGCCGCATCATTAGTGGAAGATGACTTTGGTAAGGCTCAAGTGTTCTCAAACTACTTTAGCAACGTATATACCATAGAAGCACCCTTCCCGTCAGCTCATACAAACCCCCCTACACATACACTGGATAGCGTGACCATTAATGAACTCGATGTCTTTGATCTGCTAAATAAGCTTGACATAGGTAAATCCGTGTGGCCCGATGAATTGCATCCTAGGCTACTAAAGGAGTTATCTAACTTCGTTGCGAACCCTTTAAGTATATGCTTTAAGCTATCCGTCACGCAGGGTCGTTTACCAAAAGACTGGAAGAACGCCATAGTAAGTCCTGTCTTCAAAACAGGTACGAAACATAAACCTGAGAATTACCGACCCGTTAGCCTAACTAGTGTGGTTGTAAAAATCTTAGAAAAGATTATTCGGAAAGAGCTGTTTAAATACCTCGATGTAAACCGAATCCTCTCGGAGAAACAGCACGGTTTCAGAATAAGTTATTCTTGTCTCACTAACTTATTAGTCACTCGAGAAAGCTGGTGCGCTTCTAAGGACCAAAAGTTACCTGTAGACGTGGCTTACATTGATTTCAGCAAAGCTTTTGACAAGGTTCCGCACAACCGGCTGTTATATAAGCTAAAAAATGTCGGAATTGGAGGCAATCTATTGACGTGGATAGAAGACTTCCTTGTTGGGCGCCAACAAAGAGTACGGGTAAACTCAAAATTATCTAGCTGGGAAACTGTGCTTAGTGGAGTGCCCCAGGGTACAGTTTTGGGGCCAGTGCTATTCCTCTTGTATGTAAATGACCTTCCTCGCTTACTATCATCATCGGTCTTGCTATATGCTGACGATGTCAAGATATGGAGGACGATACGATGTAATGGTGATAGCTTAGAACTCCAAAATGACCTGAAGAAATTATCCGAATGGTCTGATACATGGCAGCTGCCGATAAATACTTCCAAGTGTGTTGTGATGCATATCGGTCATCAAGGTTCAGTAACATACACGATGAATAACACTGAGCTACCTGCTGTCCAGACACATAATGACTTAGGAGTCATCGTTAGCCAAGATCTGAAGACTACTGCACACTGCCGTGCAACAGCCGCCAAAGCTTTTAGAACTTTATGGTCAATACATAGGGCTTTTATTCATGTCGACGCTAAAATATTTTTGACTTTGTATACAGTGTTCGTGCGTCCCAAACTTGAGTACTGCATACAAGCGGCTAGCCCCTGCTTAAAAAAAGACAGTGAGCTTTTAGAAAAGGTCCAGAGAACAGCAACTAAGCTGATTCCCGTAATAGCGAAGCTTCCGTATGATGCTCGACTGGCCAAGCTAAACCTATTCCCTTTGTCATATCGCAGAACTAGAGGCGACTTGATTACAGTTTTCAAATTGCTTAGTGATAAATTTGCACCTGATATGCCCTCATTCTTCCTGTCTTCCAAAACAGAGAATTTACGAGGACACTCCAAAAAAGTTCACAAGCCCAGAACAAATTACTTGTCAGCTGATTATCGACTTTCCCACCGAATCATCAACGAGTGGAATTCATTACCTCAACACGTGGTTGAAGCTCCATCCGTAGATTCTTTCAAAAGAAAGTTGGATCAACTGAGAGAACACAATTGCCAGGAATAACACAGGCCATCAAGCCTCCTGTCCTTTCCAAACTGAAACTGAAACTGAAATAAGCTTCTGGAAATCAAACTTGTTATAAAAATTCAAAGCGGAAATTAGGAAATTGTACAAAGATATTTACAAAAGACTATTGAGATGTTTGAAGACAATTCACGGTTTCCCTGTGATAAATATATCAATATCCATGTTTATTTCTTAATACTACCTGCTTGTTTGGTCAGACCGATTAGACTGTTCACATATGATTTATAATCAGAGGGGTTTTGTGGAGATTGTAGTAATTTAATAATTGAATTCATGAGTCAATTGAATAAGACAATGGTGGACGGTGGCGCGATTTCGTGGATTGGTTGAAGTTAGACATTAACACTGTTGGATGTCGACCAGCTCAGTGGTCTAGAGGTTAAGCGTTCGTGTGCGAGACTGATAGGTCCTCGGTTCGAGTCTCGCGGGGCAGGATCATGGATGAGCACTGCTGAGGAGTCCCACAATAGGACGAAACGGCCGTCCAGTGCTTCTGGGCTTTCCATGGTTGTCTAGCCTCAATTGACTCATGAATTCAATTATTACACATTGTTTACTTTCTATTTACTCTGGAATCAATTTCAGAAGAGACTGAAGCACTAGTCAACTGATCACATAAAACATTGAGAAATTAAAGTCGTTTTTTTCTGCCTAAACCACCCAAGACAATTTAATAATTACAAATTTGATCAATCATAGGTGAAAATAAATATTATGAAATAAGGGTGACAGAATCACAGGATTAGTCAGTTTTTGTCAATAATGTTAAAGCTTTATTAGGAACGCTACGTGCAAGCGTTTTTTCTACATTATTGATCAAAAATTATTTTTGCTAATCAAGTTCTGTTTACGAACAATGTTGATTCGTATGTCGATGTTGAGGTTAACTAGTTTTCATATTTTCATGACCTGTTGGTACAACAGATATTTGAATATAGCCGGAACAACAGTTGAGGTAGAATAATATGAATTCATTATGTTTCGTGGTTTCTCGTCAGCTGCTCACAACCATATATATATCAAAGTGTAACTTTGAGGTATGATGTTATATGAAACAATTGACATTGATGATCGGAATAGATATATATCATTCTTGTGGATCTTTGCAGCGTAGGTATATCATCTAATTTACACCTATTTGTAATGGTCACTTTGATATGTAAGATGTTATATATTCTGTCTTGTTTACTAACTTTCTTTTCTCGGTCTATAAAAGCTACATTGAATGTCTAATATTTTCTGGATAACCTGTAAATTGTTCTAGTAAGCTGATTGAAGACAATTGACTCACTTATATTATCTAACGTAGCTAATAAAGTATGGGAGCTAGTAGATCCATTATTATTGGGATAGGACAATTCGCAACACATTCCTTTGCTGCAGGTTACTGGATCAATCAAGAAGTTATGTGCATAACATATCAGTTGTGAAACATTCGTTTATTTATTTTGATGTATCGATTAAATCTAATAAAAAAGACTAGGTGAATAGGAATATTTATTGGCATGTTTCAACGGTTTATTGGAGAAAATCTCGATCTTGCTGAGAAAACTGAATTAGGGTTTGATAATAAATAATCTAAACTAGATAATTCTATTTCAACTCGGTCGAACAATTTCTTCACCGAGAAACGAATCCCCTATTTTCGATTCTGTATGAATTCAAGAGTTCATGTTAGTAAAACTAGCACTGGAATGATGTCTGAGTGCTCAAATCGCTTGACTTTCATTCATTCAATCAAGAATTTGAACATTTTTTAAATTTTTTTTTGAAAATTCAATTGTCTCTTTTTTCATTGCTTAAAATGTTTAACGGAAAGTGTTGTAGGAAAATCCTTACTTCCGTCAAAGCTTCGGTGTAGATTATTAGTTTTTATAGTTTGCTGACCTTACCAAGACAGCTATCTTAAAAGAAAGTCACTGGGAAGCTATTTTGTCCCAATATTGAAATCTTCAGCAATATACGTGCACAACCTTGTAGTGGATCGAAGCTTAAATCTCCAAGTTTCAAAGTAAGTTTTGAACGCTTTCGGTCTGATGCTTAGCAGAGGCAATGGATGTGCACTGCTGAAGAGTTTTATTCTAGGACGAAGTGGTTGTCCAGTGACTCCTGAATTTCATTAGCTGTCTAAAAAAGGTCAGTGTCTGATGTAGACTTTGAAACTTCGACTGATTAGTGAGTTATATTATACCTTTTCTCGATATCCTGAGAGGACTAACGCATATATTTTGTTTTTCCTTAATCTTTCTGGTGATGACCTTCCGACTGATTTCAATTGATGATTTGAACTTTTTTTCGAAAAAATATCGTCATTTATTTTCAGAAAATACAAAGAAAACTACTGTAACACCGTCAAAAGATATAATATCAAAGAGATCATTTTCAACGTTCTCACAAATTATGGATGATGAAGAAGGTCTACTGCGTTCTGTAGAAGATTTTCGAACGGTAATTACACTACTTATTTATTCGAATTATTTATTAAATTGAATAACTCTATCTTTCATCTTCATTTGTGTTATTAGGTTTGTTATCGTCTTTTCTTCGTTAAAAAATATTTGTTGTTAATATTCTCTTTTTGTTGTATCTGCAGTTTACTAGAAAAGTATTCGAGTCTATACATTAAAAAGAAAACTTGTTGCCCGCTAATTGTTTTAATATACATATGTTCACCTTGAAACGGAATTTTACATGTGGAGTTTCATCTACTTACGAGTAGTATAACTTGTGTATGGCTTATTCAGTTTCTATCTTTGATGATGTAAAATAAGTTCTTTATCATTCACCGTGTCAGTATGACATGTGATGAAATAAAATTACGCATCTTACTGGTTAATAGTATCGTATAATTTCACAAAGAAACTTAGAAAGTACTGGAATAGATCTCTTCCGAGGAGTTCATGGAGGCGTGATATTTGTACCTACAAATTATCACTAAATATTTGATTTTGGACAGAATTTTGTAAAATCATGTTACCATCTTATTCAACTGCTCAAAAGTAGTTTGATAAATAGTAAATTTACATCACTCTATCAACGTCCAGCGTTACCGTTATTGACTTTGGAATTTCTATGCTGCTGTCGCTAGAGATGACAAAACGAACGTTCATGGTGGTTCTATTTGACTTATGAGATCCTTCAATGTGTCTACATAGTTTTTTAATATTTGTATTAATTGTTATCAAAGCTTTCATAATATTTTTGTACAGATTTACTGAAAGGTCCATGAAATTCCTCAATATTCTGAGAGCCATGTAAATAAAAGTTTCTGATCTGAGTAGTGATGTCCTCCTCCGTATGATAAATGCTATTACTTTTTGAGTTTCACACAAAAACCTGAAAGTCCCTATCTTTATGCTGATCGGCTCTTCATAAAGTTCCACATTCTGACTGAACTATGAAATATTCAATTGAATTTCTACTGGTTTTAAAACTTTAAGTAATCGCTTCGAGAGAAACTGATGAAAACTCGTGTAATTAACCAGTCGACTAGAAGAAAATCAGTCTATTCTCGAGCGTTGACTGTATATTTTGTAATTGAGCAAAATGTTACAATAACACGCATATAAGTGAACAATACTGTTTCCGTTTAGATCTCCATCAAACTTTTTAATACACAGCAGCATTTATATTAAACCACACAAAACAGTTTGTGAGTCATTATTAACAGTAAATTAGATAATAAAACTTAACATGGTGAGTAAAAAGTACAAATTTACATCACGATAATAGATGCGCCTGTAGTGGTAGGAATAATAAAACATGAATCGATTTTCAAGATAAGTAGGTCAGGACTGTAGAAAATGGACACTAAGATAATAATCACTGAAGTCATTAAAATTACGTAATAAGTGAGTAAATAATCAGATAGCGAAGACTGTATACTAAAGGGGAGTAAAGAACAAATGAAGTATGTAAAAAGTTATTGAAATCGTTTACTAGATCTTATCCGACTGGGGAGGAGACAGATGCGTTACAGATTTCTTTTGAATACATAGACTAGGGTTGTAGGTTCGAAATTTTACAGCTTATTAAATAAAGTTGAAATCATCCTAACTATGATCGCCACAACTTCGTAATGACAATTATCATGCGCTCACTAGTGACTAGCTTTGAGAGAAAATTGTCAAACTTCTAGTCAGAAGCCATGACCAGTACAGTTTAACGGTGTCAAGTGTGAAGAAGGTAACCCAATGGAAAAAACTGAAGATCGTTGGTTGAGTAGTATCATGGATTGATTGAAGTTGTACTTGTACATGATTGGTTTCGGCTTGGTGGTCCAGAGGTTGTGCATTCACGTTCGAGATCAAAAGTACTGGATTTAATCCTTGATGAGGGGTCGTTGATCCATACTGTTGAGAAGCCTTATGATAGGTCGAATCAGTCATCTAGTGCTTCGAGTTTTGCAATGGTTGTCTAACATTGATCGATTCGTGATTTCAATGAAATCCAACAACCTTCACAACCTTATACTGAAAATAAATATATGACTTGAAATAAACTAGCTGTTTCATTTTAGTGGTTGTGGTGTGTTCTATGTCATGTTTTGTCTCACTTGTTTGTTGATGTTATAAGTTGTTTACCTTTCTTCGCAGTCCTTAAATACTCCTGTCATACGTTTGATATTAAACCGGTTAATGTCTAAATTTCCTGGTACACAAAAAAATGTCGTTGAAGAAGCATTTGTTCGATGCGAGTAAGTGGTTTTTTCACATATTCATTATTTGTTAATTTATATTACTTGGGATTTTGTTGGTGAACATATAAATTCTGGGGATTTGATACAAACCATTTGTCTCGCGCACGAACGCAACTTCGTGGATTAGTTGAGGTTAGACATTAACACCGTTGGATACCGGCTCAGTGGTTGAGTAGGTTAAGCGTTCGCGCGCGGGATTGTGGATGCGCACTGCTGAGGAGTCCCACAATAGGACGTAAAGGTCGTCCAGTGCTTCTAGGTTTTCAGTGGTGGTCTTACATCGGTTCATGATCTCAATCACAAACCATTTGATTGGTTTGTTCTTTTAACTGAGGTTTAGACTATGGATAGAGGATAAAACAGATGCATTTTGGTCAGCAAATAGAAAACAAGGCAAACTTCTCAACCTATTTGAACTCACTCAGATGTATCTGCATTCACACTCCAACTAGTTTTTTGTATTCCCAACTCTCAATACGATATCTGCTGAGTTACTGAGTTCAGATGATCATTCGCTTGGGTAACGGCTTTAATATTATATAGACAATTTGTACAGTTTACTCACTTATCAGCAAATACTTATCAAGTTTTAGTCAAGAATACCAACTAGGAAATAACTCAAACCCTTTCTATAATAATTATATGAGATAGAACATGTTTGTAAGCCAGGATGAGGATTTCGGATGTGTTATGTTCTTTGAGCTTGATAGTTCAAGTGCAAGGCTTTCATTCTCTTTCTAAGCAACATTATGATCAATTACTTCAAAAATCAATCTAACAACTATGAGTAAACTCTATAATATGGTCATTTTACATTAGCTTTCAGATCTCGACATCTTCCTGGGTCGTTACAACCTTAATAGTACAATAAAGTCCTATGATACAACTACATGAGTATCCTTCCTGATTCATCGTAGTTATGCTACTGTGTTGATAACCGCATTCGTCGTTGATTCGAACTCTCTTATCGACCAAACTTCTATTTTATAAACTTCAGTCAAGAAGTTTACGTTGACTTTTCATTGTATGTATATGATCTGGCAACTATTTACATTAATGCTGTTCTGTTTAGAGCATTCGACCTTACAGTTCCTGACTAAACGTAGTGAAAGTCTTTCAATCCTATACATTATACAAGCTAATTGTTGATACTGTTTGAATGATCTTATTAGGAAGCTAAAACGTGTGTAAAGTAACCAACTAGAGCTTCATACTATTCGTTGTATTGTATTTAGCTGTTTGGATAATTAATAAAATCGGTCAAAATCCTACAATTAGTATCTTGTATCTGTTAACACTTTTCATTTAAAAGATTCAAACACTTAGACTCTAATTAATCCTTTGGATATGGAAATGGACTAAATACAATAACTGTTAGCTAATTACCTACAAATGTTCTGTCTGAATTTGATTGATCATAGTTTATCTCATAGTAGTTCTATTTTGTATACCCTTGAACGTTTTACTTTTGATGATTATTTAGTTACATAAACTATTTTTGATTTGTTTATGTTACATCTAACCTTATATTATATACACTTAATTATTTAACTGAATATTCGAACAATAGACACCTTGTATGTGTTTATCGTGTTCATTGAATATGTACACACTCCCTACGGGTTTTCAAATTGTCTACTGCTATCCACGGTATTGCACGATCATCTTCCATTGTATTCTCTGGGCAACTGCCCCACACCCGACACGGTTGAACTCCACTTGTCATGGCTTCTCACTAGAACTCTCAGAATTACCTCTTGAGGTTAGTCACTGGTGAGCACATGATAATTATCAGCATAGGTTTGCGGAGACTGTTGAGTTTTGATTAAGATTATGAACTGTTGTGTTTACTTGGCTGCTCCCATTCTAATTTCACTGGCTTACTAAAATATACTTTACTGTAAACTCCCACTGACTATTAGTTTTATACCATCTTGTCCAAAGTGATGGGGCCATTTGAATCGTGAAGCATCACGAGGTAGTATAGAACAATAACTACTGGAGTCAGATTAAAGCCTAAAGACTTACCTCCATAGGTATTAATTCACTTAAAATGCATTTTTCTTGAAAGAGACCCCCAACAACAATCAAACAATGTTTTCTTTAGATTTGATGAAGCTCGGACAGAAGTTTACCTTCTAACTTATTATAAATCAACTATTGAATCAGTGACAAAGTCTACGACAACAACAACGTCAACAACCACTAACAATTCATCGTCTATTCAGTGCTGGAATAACATGTCAACTGTGAATCAACAGTCTATCAATTCAACCTTTATAACTAATAACAGTGATAATAATAGTAATAATAAAAATAATCTGGTTGGCTTAGATTATCATCAGATTACGGAAGACAATTTAAGTTTAAAAGAAATTCAAGATGAAGAGGAAGCGCTGAATAGATCTATTGAAGATCAGAAAGATGTATGTAATTTTTTATTAATTCTGAATTAGTTATTATTACATTATACGATGCTTGATTCAGATACACGCGTTTCCTTATACACTTGGTCAACCACCCATACCAATAAGGAGACTAAAAAATAACTAGAAAGCGGTAACCAGCCAACAGAATGAAAAATTAAACAAATCACTAGTATATATACGTTTGTCCTTCTGACCCAGACAAGGGGATATAGTATTTGATCTTGACTAGAAGCATAACTGGCTCCCATCAATACCATCTCTCGTTCGCAATTTCTCATCTGCTGTTTGATCTTGTAATGAAATGTAGACACAGGCACGTGATTTATGCCTAGACTAGTCCAGCCTATCAGTTATAGAGATAATAATGGAAAAAGACAGATTAACATTAACAAAGATTATGTTGTACTGTTTGGTTGTTTTGTTTTTACTTGGGGGGGTCTCAACAAGACGCACGTATGACCCCCAATTATTTGAAGATAGTCAACATGGATTCCCATCTCAAGTTCTATGATCCAGAGTTTTGACAATTCCTTAGACAGATCCCTATCGACTATAGTATTTACGACACAGGAACTGATGACGTCTAAAATAACATAGAAAGCTTCTCAGCACAATCATTCAGATTAGTTTAGTTAACAAAATATTTTTAGATCCATTTACATGTGAGCTAAAAATCTTCTCTATCATTTCAAAATCTTATAAATTGTTCGTATGATAGTTAAAGGGTTGGAAAGTTCATGTTCTACAGATATTACCTTTTTGATGTTAATCACATCATTTATTTGCTGGTTATGTCAGTAAACATATTGTGTTTTTGTTTTTCTGAAACTAATTCAAATCACGAAATTTGCTCATCTAAACATAGCTAATTGTTTCAGTAATAAATTCTATTGTTACATAGTTTTTTTAGTATTTCCCTAAGAAATTTTCATTGTAATGCGGAACAGTTATTTAATACTCTGCAACTCTTAATCATTATTTGATTGATGTCAATTTATGACATTCCGATGAAGTTAAAAATGATAAATTTAAAACCTATTCATTGTGTAGACTTTGTGGATACTTATTCTATTTTCAAAAATAAATGTATATTGTGACATATATACTATTAACGTATGCGTGTGATATTTGTGCATACGTGAAACATGCACTCATATGATATTCAACACTGTCACGTTCTTTTCTATACCTTCATTTTCTTCAATTGTTAAAAAATGGTGTACATATTCTTAAGGATGGTTACATGATATAAATTAGTTATGTTCACGTGGAGATATTTAGTATGATATATATATATATATATATATATATATATATATATAACTAATTGATTGATCACTGAGTATTGACTAGTATCATATTTGTCCAATCATTTTGAGCTCTGATCAGATTTTGTTAATTAAGTTTTAATGTGACCACTTAGTCTGATTGACTGGTCATTACATACACTATGTTGAGAATTTAGGCGATTATAGATAGTTGGCAGAAAACCCCAGGCTCTGGTTTTGTGATACTGATTCGAATCCTACAGGGAGCATCAATTCGCTTAAGATTGTAGGTATGCCTTGCTGAGGAGTGTCGGCTAGCCATTAACCTATGCCTATAGATTCTAGCAAACTACTTCCAGCCACCTAACATCTCAATATAGTGCTCAGGATTTTAAGCCACTTAGACAAGTGGCCACATTGTAACTTCATCGATTGAATTCGATCACCACTACAAGTATTATACAAACATGACATTTGTCACTACTCAGTAATCAACTGATTGGAAATATTGTCATTCCAGCTTAATACATTCAACACTAGATTTCCAGTTTCTGTTCGTGTGCATCGCGGCACAGATATTGGGTCGTTCATTTGCTTACAAATACATAAATATGTTTTCTCCCATCTTAAAAAATATGTTAATAAATAGGTTTCTTGATACCATTCTCATTCAATTTAAAACTGAGTGGTTTGAGTGACGAATTTCAAATTTTTGGGGAGTCCAAAAATAAAGTATCGTCAGTGTCTCTATAGTCACACAAAACGTCAGGAAATTATTTATTTAATCAGAGTTGAGTAGAGGCTCCTCGTAAACATCTAGGAAACGAAGAATCATGTGTTCCATTTTTGATTAGATGTTTATCTATACCATTACTACGTTTAGTATGTTTTCAGAAATTTCTAGAAGTCTAATGTCACATAACCATAAGTGCTCTCGACTTTCTGTACATGAACTAACCTTAGAGTGAAGCTCTTACTCGTATTATACGCTTTTTTTTCTCTTGTTCCAGTTATCATGTATAAGTATCTTGGGGTCGTAGGAAGCCTCTTAGAAGGGAGAAATAAGCATCCCAGTAGCACATTTATTAAGAATCAATGTAGAATATTACAAACACTATATCCTTAAACCCTACCATATATTAACAGAGGTCAAGTTCTTTATTTTCTAAGGTATCGAAGTGTAATCAAACCCTCTAGTGAGTAATTCCTATTCATTCTATTTATCTAGTCAAAGGTAGAAACAATTCTTCAACGCATAGAGTTGAATTAGTGATTAAACTCATGTTACAATTAATATTGGTAATCATAATTCCATATTAGGATTATTTATTCTGGTCCATATTATTTCATGTAAAGAAAAATACTTACTATTTCTCCCCTACTTCTTATTCTACTATTATTATTACTACTACTCCCACTGTAATTATTATTTCCACTTTCTATCTATGCATAATCTTGTCTATTGATAAATTTTTTCATAGATCATATTTATTATACATTATCCTTCTAATGTTTATCATCAAACATTAACATTATCCATCTATGACTTTTATTATTATTGTTATTGTTGTTTCACATGAATTTTTGTATGGGATAGTTAGTTAGGCAACATAGATAGGTAGATAGTTATGTTTTAAGTGAACATTAACCTTTTCTTTTCATATGTATTTTTTAAAATGGATTCCAATAAACATCAGTGAAATATTATGATTCTTTATAATTATTTCGTTTAATATATATTACATTCAGCTTAATCAGATGCACATGTTAGTGATGAAGGGCAGTTGAAAGTAGAAATATATAAGAAAATGTTAATATTGTACGGCTGCGGTATGATGTTGGTTTTATTCAATCTTAATGATTTATTTACATATACAACGTCATTCTCTTAGATCTTGAGTTCTCAAATTATTCCGTACTTTTTGATTCGATAGATTCATTATCTCTTTTGGAATCATATTGTCTGTCTCTAACATTTCCTACTGTCATTAACAGCATTACTTTTTCTACTATTCTGGTATTCGTTTTGATAATTTCATTTCGCTTTATTGATATGATTTACTGTAGTGACTTGAACCGATCTAAAAAATGTACCAGATTCTATGCTAATTATGACTAACTGTCTGGTTGAATTGATACAAGGTAATCAGATCAACTTTCCGGAGTACGTAAGGATGATTTTGTATGAAGAGATTATTAAATATAACACTGTTATAGAGTTTATCCACTTCCTCTCAAACTGTGAGTCTTTCTCGTTTTACAATATCACCAGTTTGAAACATTTTTCCCCCAAACATTTCTCTACAAATAATGATGAACATAGAAAAGTGATTGATTGAGATCATGAACCGATTGATGTTAGACCACCATTAAAAACCTGGAAGCTCTAGACGGCCGTTTCGTCCTATTGTGGGACTCCTCAGCAGTGCGCATCGACGATCCCGCTCGCGGATTCGAACCAAGAGCCTTCAGTCTCGCGCGCCAACGTTTAACCTACTGGACCACTGAGGAGTCCCACAATAGGATGAAACGGCCGTCCAGTGCTTCCAGGTTTTCATTGGTGGTCTAACATCAATCGGTTCATGATCTCAATCAAAAACTTGACAATCTCCACAACCCCTAAACTGATAGAAAAGTGAGTTGTATAAATGTTGGCCTATTCATTAAATTTTGGGATGGTTGCTAGTCGTATGTTTCTTCCCATTTGGCACTTATCAATTGAGAGTATACTTATAACTCAGTGTTGATGTTCCCATTAACAACGAAAAAAGCAGAAAAGAAATCTCGTAAATTTAGTCGACTCATATTTGAATAAAACTAGAGAGATGGTTGAATTTCACTCCATAAATTATAGACCTATTCGGTGTGACATCATTTGTTTTTAGAAACGGTAATTATGCAATTTATTTATCACTACTTGCTTACGATGTTGAATGATAGTACATTTCACACCTACTTATTATTGTAGCACTATCAAAGTATTTCAAATTCAGAATAACATTAAATCCAAAACTAATAAAAACACTTGTTTAGAATAGATCGATTTTGGCTAGCGTTGGAATCCGAGGCTCGCATTTCATCTTACTTTGGACTCGTCAGCCGGATTCACACGCATTTACATCGGGACCACCCGGACAGGATGCATATATATTGACAAAGATCAATGAAAATTCAATTCGTAATGTCAATAAAAGGATAACTTAAGACCTTTTTAAAGATGATATAAGAATATTTTTGATTTATGCATCAATGATGTTCACAAGTTCATAGGGCAATTCGGTTTCCTTCCTTTGGATGAATAATAATCACCAATATAATATGTAATAATATTTAGTCACCAAATGAATAACATGAATTTAAGATAGGCCAATTAGTTAAAGCGAAACAACCGTGGTGTGACGGCAGTAAGGTTTTTCCTTCAGTAAACCAGCATAACGGCGATGCTGCCTTCCCACAAAGGAAGGGTGAAGTTAGAAAAGGTTGACCCTAAAGATGCACACCTCGCCTTATCCCACAGATATCTGTCTCCGGCGGTAAGGTCCCAACAAGTACGGAGCTAACATGAAAATTACTCACAAAAAGGTCGTGTGTTACTGACTTCAAGCAGTTGTCCCTTGGGCACTGTGGTCACACTCTCAGGTCACTAAGACCAGCTCTAACCCGATTTCTTTTTCAGGTACCTCTAGAAGAACCCTTCCACGGTCTGGGCAACCTGGAAGTGAAAACCGCCCTCACATCTCTAACAGCATTCATGACCACCGGTAAATATTTGTCATTTGTTAAACATTCTATTGTATATTACATTATAATAGATAAATTCTATTGGAATTTGAGCGAATAGTCTGATAAAAATTGAGCTCCAAGTATAATGACATTTTATATATAAATATTATATTTGAAATAATCTCAATGATAGAGTACTAAATAATTCCAAATTTTCGCTCGGCTAACTAACTCGAACCACTCCAGGTTAATGATGGGAATCGATATTATCAAAACGTGTATAAGGTTTCGTTAAATTCCATCACAAGACAAGTTTTAACTTGAAATCCTCAGGGCTAAGGAGAAATATGCAAACCAAAGAACACATGACACCCGGAACTAGGGACAAACATCACAATCATAGATAGTACTTGGTAACAATTGGAGAGAAGAGCCTGGGACAAAGTTACTCGGAGATTCTCAGTAGGTATGCTATGTTTTACGAAAAGTATCACACTTAAGTAGGTAAGCTATACAAGATTTCAAAAAAACAAAATCACACTAAAAGCCTGTTTTATTGATTAATACCTTGTTTAAATAATTGTCAATTACAGTTCAAAGATCATGGAGGAGTGTATTATTGAAATGTACAATATTTTACTTAGGATAATCCTATACAACAAGATTTTCACGACAGATAATTCTTTTTACTATCATTTTTATTTAACTTTTTTCTCAGTAAAAGTTTTCAGTTGCTTTGTTTCTCCGTTTATTAAATAAAGTCTCTTTTTTTAGCGTCTTCTAACATTGGCCAATCAACTTTGTATGAGTCGTTTAAAAGCACAGTTTCCTGGAATAGATATAAATTATTTGGAAAATCTTTTCATTCGATTTGAGTAAGTATTTATTATTATTATTCAACATATATCTGTGTTTCACATCTTTTAATTGGAAATCAGTTGGGCCACCGGTGATTTTTAATTACGAACAATCACAATTCTCTTAGTGTGTACTCGATAGTGCGGTCACTGATGCATACAACACTTTAAAAATTATCCTGACGATGAAGCCCAAGTACAAGAAGACAGGAGTGCAGTAAACTCTTTATACTCAAATAAGTTCAAATTAAAGAACAACTCTGTGTAAACAAAACAGGAATTTAGAACACAAGAGAATTAGAAGACTGTTAAGGAGAATTCACGTTATCTAGATTTTTTGTTATTACAAGTTAGTTCTTTCGTTAAAAGATAACTTTGGTGATATCTTCTGCTGAAATCTGATTAGCTGTTTCCTCTTTCAATTTTTCAATTCTATCGTTTCTCAAGGTTAGAAGCGGTTATAATGATTACTTCATTATCTCTTTCTACTTACTAACAATCTGGTTTACTTAACTCATGTTTCAAAACAGACCCGTTATATTTGTAAAATACTTAATTTAAAGAAGAGAACATTGGTGTATGTGAAAGATCTGGTAGAACACAATAAATGATGAATTCATTTTCATTTCAAGTTTGCATTTATTATTCTTATGTTTGTTAAAAGAGAACTAATTACATGAAATTTTGAAGATTCTGAGTATTGATTACCATTGATCGGCATAATGTACCTGGGAGCTGAAGGAAACCTCATACACTCTATTATACATGCGTGTATTTTTGTCGAGTTATTTAAGTGGTATATCTGGAGTTAAAAATATCCATGATTAGTAGCAACTGTTGAGAACAATATGAAATGGTTTGGATTATCCTGTCGTGATCGTAATCTAGCTTGGAATTTGTGAAGCAGTGGCTTGGCGATATTCGGGATTTGTTTTTCACCTAATTAGTTGTCGCTTCGTACTATTCTCTTCACACAACTAGTCAATTACGTCACAATCTGTAGTACTAGAGTAATTCAAAAATGGGGATTTCAGTGTTGGTGGCCTTGGTGAGGTGAATAATTGGTTTGCTTAAAATAAACTGCCCATACCCTGTTTGTTTTTCACTTCTGTATAGCTTTAAAAAAGTTTTCTCTTTGGACTCATTAGAGACAAGAACATATGAGTAAATTAACTACAATATTGGATAAGGATTGTGTTACACCACAAATTTGATTAAGTTCGGAAAATGAAGACCATGTGATCATTGCAACTCATTGGCATCCAAGTTTATCGTATGTACTGTAAGATCTGAAGATTCCGAATTAAATCCCATGTACAATTGTTAATGCATGCTGTTAAACGAGTAATCTCAAACTGAAATGTGAAACAAGGTGTTCAATTCTCAGTTTTTGATGGATCTCCGGTTGGTGACAATCACTTGCTCTAAACTTTTGGGGGACCTACTTTCCAACTGTGTAAATATTTCAATAGATTTCCATTGTCTCAATTTATTCTGACTGACTAGTTATGCTTTTTGATTTCCAAATGTACTAATACTCTTTTTTTAAAAAAACTTACAACCTATCTCAATTTTAATTTTAGAGAAACTGAAGTAAATTCCGATGGAATTCGCGTATCAAATATATGTTGTCTGATTTAAAGTGTCACGAGAGCGAAATTGATGAAAATGGCTGACAGCTAATCACTTCTAGAAAACATTTTTATACATACCATTCTAAGTATTAGTAAGGTATATGTAAGGCGAAGCCAATCAGAATCGAGGATGCGATTTCCCGGTTTTTAAGCAAAATTCAAATACAACGTATGATGAGCAGTGGAGGTACCTTTGTATACTGTTCGAGATGATTTAAATGATACCGAAAAATTATTTTTTGACACTATGGAGTAAAACTGATATTGGTAAACTTATCAACTGCTCAATCCTGCCTCTGTAGATTGTATGTAACAGGCAAATCGACACTGTTTCTGAATCCTAACCTTTTAATCCTTCAATAAATTTTAACCTGGTGGTACTGCATGGACAAATTAATCAGATAGCTTGAAATTCATTAATCCATTTGACTATAGCGAATTTTCTCATCATAGCCGATGTCAGTTCATGATGAAAACCATAACCTTTAATCCCTAATTCTTAATCCTTACCCTAACCAATAACAATGTAGAGACTTTTAAAAAAACTATGTAGGTCATTTTAGGAGTTTAGAGAAGACAGGCAATCTGTATTTACATGGACGAATTTATATATTGTTGCTTTTTCAATTTACAAGTAATAGTATCCTGTAAAAGACGTTAATAGATTCGTTAACTGAGTAAAAATCTGTTTATACTATGTAATATTATTGTGTTATGTCCTAACGTAGAATGAGTGTTAACTTCCAGGAATTATTTATGAACTATCACCATATATATATATTCTTATCGTATAATTATTAAGTAACTAGATCATATATGTTTATGTTCCTTTTCTCATAAGTTTTCATTCAACCTATTGGCTACCGCTATATGGTTTACCACTTCTAATTTATTCCTACCCCGTTAGTTACAGTCTCCTATACTCACAACCACTTTTGACATGATCTTCTCTAAGTAATATTCTTCATTTCGTGGTATAATGCGGTCTGGCCTACTTGTATATAAACCATGTATGTCTGAAATATAGGATCCATACGACGAGGGTTGTTGTTTGTGTTGTAGGCCGAACGGGCTAGGTTAGGCAAGTAGTTACCACATAGGGGACCGATAAGGGCTGAGAGTGGATTCAATGCTGCTCGTTTGGGTTAACGCATTACTGGTTTAGTAGTGACAAGATCATATAGGTCGGTGTTCTGATTGGCGATTTTGTCACGTCATGCTTAATGGGCCACAGGACATAACAAATTGGCGACGGAGCGGTTTGTTTAAATGAACCTACGTACCTACTTTTGTAGTCGGATATATTTTACTAATCAAAAATATAGACTATTGAAGTAATACTAGATCAATCTGTGCAAACTCAAATGGAAATTGTCAGTATCATAGAGAAAACTGTCCTTAATAATGTTAACACTGGGCAAGATCCAAATGTTTCGATGTTGGATTCTGATTAGTATAGTGATTACTTAACTATATCGAGTGAAGTCCTGAATCGTTGTGGGAATAATGTTTCAAATAAATCGAATCCTTATCAGATTTATGATATTATTTTACTAGATATGGATTGTCTTATTGATTAATGTATTTTTAAGGAAATTGTTTATAAATATGTGGAGGATATTTCGAGTGCATCAAATCCTGACGAGAACTCTGATGCCTTTTTATCAGATGTGGTTTGTCCTAATGATTCGTTTACTTCTAGTGAAATCTTAATTAAATGTGAGGAACAAGTTATGAGTTAAAATTTGATTACAGTTCTGATAGTGTCCCATCAGATATCATTTGTCTTCACAGAGAATTTATTCCTAATGATATCCTTAATGAATGTGACAAATATGTTCCAAATCAGTCGAATTCTAGTCACATTCCTGATGTTATTTTATCAGATTTTGGGCATTCTCACAATCTAGTCGAGTAGAATCCCTAGTTAATGTAATGATGATCAGTGGGCACGGCAAGTTTGTCCGAAGCAATAAGAGAACCAGTTTGCACAGGGAGAAAATCTAAATTGAGTCCTAATAATAAGTATGAGGCAAATGCATGTTCCATATGATTGTCTTGTAGGTGTGTCACATGTGTTAATCACTTACACTAATACTGAAAGTGCATATTCATGTTATAACTGGAACAATGGTCTTGTGTTTTTGCTTCACGTGAAAGGCGATGAAAGGAACATGTACCATATTTTTTATGCAAGTCAAAATCACATGTCAATTTATATGCCTAAATACTCGCATACAATCAAAACGTAAGATATGAGATAATGCAGATTGTGAACGTTAAATTATTTATAACATTGCAACATAAGATCCCTACATTGTTTCATGGGTGGAGATATACATGCATGCAATGTCAAGTCATAATTCCTACCAATCTTTTCAAATGGATGTGATACAGAGCCGTCTACAAACTTATATGGGAAGGTGGTGTGTGGTAGTGAAACTAAAATATAGTTAGTCATTGAGCCTGGGCAGACAGGCACAGCTACTCACTACCACTAAATATGTGATTTCCTTTCGTGCTATTGATTTCTATTCCGAATCCACTGAGTGTGAATGCCTGTAATTGTGTCGAATAAAAGTATTATCTAGTGTTAATCTGGTTCTCTCTTCTGGGTCGTGAATCCCGAATGTTAGAACGTAACTAGTCTTATTATTGTATCAACTTAACATATTCTAGCTTCTGGACAAGCCAATCTACTCATTTTTTACAATTAATTAATCACTGGATGGAGGTTAGTGTCACATGTGTTAGGTCCTTCTTAGTGCAGATCGAGTGCCATCGACCAAGTTGTAATGTGGCCACTAGTCTAGGTGACTCGACATTGCGTGAACTATGTTGAGATTAGATGGTGATCGGAGTTTGTCAACAGAAAACCCTGAACCCGGGTTTTGAGTTACCTAAACTGGTGGCCACATTGCAACTTGCACGGTAGCATTCAATCTACACTAAGAAGGACATGACATTGATCACCACCCTGTGACCATTCAATTGTGAATACATCTCAGTCCTACAGGAGGTCAGTCGCAGCCTGGTTAGCCCATTGGTAACATCTCTGACTGTGAAGCTAGGTGACAAGGGGTCGAATCCGTCAGGGAACACCAGTTCCCTCAAGATTACAGGTACACCTTGCTGACGAGTGCCAAATAGCACGAAACCCCGGCTCAGGGTTTCTTGTTGACTTCCGCCAACCATCATCTATTCATTCTTCTTGAGTCACATTTTGACTTGGCCAATTATTTACTTATCAACCTTGACTTTTTATATGAGTGTATGTGTGTACATTTCTTATCTTACTCATTACATGCTTGTAACTTATTTTTGTTCGGCCATAAATATCGGTTAACGCTTGATTAAATCGAGTTGGCTTACATGCCTTCACCGCTCATCATCTCGTTTCGCTTCGTTCCTTTGATCGCCTGCTTGGATCAATGATTGTACAAAATATCCATATTCAAAAATACATTCTCGTGTTTGACTTATTTATTTCCGTTATTCACTAATGTGAGTTAAGTCGTTGGTTTTATACGATTATTTGGCAAAATGCATATTTCAATAACAATCATTCATATAATCCTATTGGAGTCAGATATGGGGCCACAAAAAATCGTAGTATACTTGAGCGAGAGAAAAATACTTCAAACCATCCGGTATATCATTGTTTTCTTTCCCATAAATTATCAATTTCTGATTGACCACAAGTTGACCGGAAATTCATCCCGGTTGTTTTAAGCTCATCCCTTTATCATCTTTATACCGCATATATTGATGTAAGACAGAAATTTGTTGCAATGCTGTGCACGATTGGTGTAAAGAATTTGTTTCATATGAGGTTGAATTAAAAAATTATCATGATCACTATTATTGCTCTACGTAATTATGTTGTACTATCTTGTAATTTCATGCTAAATATGTTGTTTTTTCTTTTTCGTGTACTTTTTTCTTATTAAATTTAGTTTAAACGAGCAAAATCTTTCGGATTATCTCATAAAACAAGGTTTTGTAACTCACTCGTTAAATCCATTCCTCGTGGAAACTGTAAATAAATACATTGAAGATGTCGACGATAATGATAGTAGAGCTTCACCAGTTTCATCTAATCAAGGTTATGTAACTGATATTAGCAATGGCAGTATTCATAATACTGATTGGTTAAATTTGATTAACCAAAAGATATCTAGTATTCGACAAAAGATAGGTCGTATGAAGAATGATCTTTCATATGCTAAAGATAATCGAATTAAACAATTCCAAATAACTGAGGTTCGTGTTTCATTTGTTTGTTTCCGTGGGTTTTTTTCCTTGGTTTTAGTGTTCACTATATTTCATTAATTAGTAACTGATCATTCTATTCCGTATTGTAATAGTCAACGACCAAGCGTGTTCCTTAATGCATCGTTACCGTCTGCATTTTGAAGTCATGAGGTGTAGAAACTAATTGAGGAGATTGTCTATAATTGATTGAAAGGTGAAATTGGTTTGCTTTCATACGTAGTTTGGAAATGGATTATTCGATGTTCTTGTGTTTTTGTTTAGATAATCAGTCATAAATGATCACCGAAACAATATCAAAGATTAAGATTTTATTTTGTAAAATAATAAAGATATACTTCTTAACTAACTTATAACAACTGTGATTCGCCTCCAACGTTGATAATTTGTACATCACTGCATACTTTACTACTAAATAAAAAAACACCTTATAATCCTATAGGCATTATAATTGATATCGGGAGACAAAGTTTGTCATTGCGTTCTGGAGTAATGTCGAAGGTGTATGAGGAGCTGTCGCTTCACGGTTGCTCACAACATGGGAAAGTACGTCTTAAGGTATCCAGAATCAAAACTAGATTGGTAAGAGGTCTTAGAGGCCTAGAAGCATGACTGTAGAGCCCAAGAGATAATGGTTTAAGGACGGACACACATGGCCTTTTT